GAGAGAGAGAGAGAGCAGTAGGGTCAGAGGGAGAAGCAGACTCCCCAGGGCAGGAGCCCGATGTGGGACTGGATCCCGGGACTCCAGGATCATGACCTGAGCCGAAGGCAGTCGCTTAACCAACTGAGTCACCCAGGCACCCTGTTGTTATCTTTTTTTAACCCAACATGATGTTTTTGAACCATATTGATACGTGGAGACCTAATTCGTTCATTTCTAATGTTGTGTAGTATTCCCTTGGGTGAATATATCACAATTTACTTGTTTATTCTTCTGTTGTTGAAATGTTTAGGCTGACCACATTTTGCTCTCACAGTGATGCAGTGAAGGTTGTTATAGGCATCTCCTTGAGCACATTTGTGAGAACTTTTCTAAAGTATATCCTGGGGAGGTGTGCCTGGGTGGCTCAGTTGGTTAAGCATCTGCCTTTGTCTCATGATCCCGGGGTCCTGGGATGGAGCCCTGTGCTGGGCTTCCTGCTCAGCAGGGAGTCTGCTTCTCCCTCTTCCTCTACCCTTCCCCTGCTCGTTCTCTCTCTCTCTCTCTCCAATAAATAAATAAAATCTTTTTAAAAAGTCTTTAAACAAAATAAAATAAAGTATATCCTGAGGAGTGGAATTGTTGAGTCATTCTATTTGTGCATCTTCAAAGTTAATATTACCAATTTGCTCTCCAAAATGGTTGTCCTAATTTATAATCCATTCTAAAAACATATCGAGTCTCTATTTCCCCCTATTTTTGCCAACATATAGTATTATCAAACTTAAAATCTTTTGTAAATCTGACAGAAATGAACTTATATCTCTTTGTTTATTGGTATTTTTCCCATTTGGAGTGAGGATGAGGAACTTTTTATATGTTTTATATAGTCACCATTCAGTTTTCTTCTTCTGTGATTGGTCATATCCTTTTCCCATTTGTTTAATTAGCAATTTGGATGAGTATCAGTTATTGGCTGTCTCCTCTGTCCCTGAGGGCAGGGACTGAGTGATTGCTGTGCCTCCAACCCCCAGCACAATTCCTGTCCCTTCAGTATTCATCAATCCTTGTTGGGTGGGTACTGATTGCATCTACTGTGTGCGGACATCTACCGTTCTTTCTGTCACCTCCCCTTTTTCCTATGGGATGCTTTTTCCATCCCAATCATGAGGTTCCTAGAGAAGCTGACATTTTCTAACGTAACATGCCCCTGGGCACAGATGATTGATTGCAGTGGGAGGGAGCACTGACCTAAGCCAGGGCAAGCATGTGAGGCTTTCAAGATTTGAGAAATAGCCATACTCTTCTTGGCGGACGTAAAGCTGGAGAGCTGTCAGCATTCATGTTCCCTACAGACACAAAGAGAATGAAGATAATGTGAAAGATGACGAAATTTGAGGTTCTGGTTTCAGGTATTCAAGAAGGTTTCTGTGAGCTAAGCTGGTGGAGTTGAGTTCTCTCCTTTTAACCTAATGAATTCTGACTGAAGCACTTTACATTTGGATTTTTCCCAATTTTTTTTCTTTCAAAAAATTCCAAACTTAAGAAGAAAATTGAAGTATAGTTTAGTGAACACTTGTAAATCCTTCATCTAGATTCACGAACTGTTAACATTTTGCCTTATTGGCTTATCTATCTCTTTCTTCGGATGTATATTCAGATACGCCCACATACATAAACACACAGATACACACAAAGTCTTTGAAAATTAGTTGCAAACATCACGGCATTTTAGCTCCAAATATGTCAGAAGTTTCCTAATAAGAACATGCTCCTCCATAACCGCTGTACCACTATCACACACAGGAATTTTAATGTTGATATAATACAATTGTCTAATATACAGCCAATATTCAAATTTCCTCAACACTGTCCTTTATAACTGTTTTTTTTTTAAAACAAAGATTTTATTTATTTATTTTAGAGAGAGAAGGAAAGTGTGTGCGTGTGCACCCGTGTGGGGTGGGGGTGGGGCGGGAACAGGGAGAGGGAGGGACAAGCAGACCCTGAGCTGAGTGCAGACCCTGTCCTGGGGCTAGATCACATGACTCTGAGACAGGACCCTGGCTGAAACCAAGAGTCTGCACTCAACTTACTGAGCCACCCAGCTACCCCATATAGCTTTTCTTAAACAGAAAAGCTGTGATTCAATCAAATACCATGTGTGGTTTTTAGCTGCTATGACACTTCGGTATACCTGAAATTAGAACAGTTTTAGTCTTTTTTGGGGGGGCGGGTCTTTTATGACACTGACATTTTGGAAGAGTCTGGGTTGGTCATTTGTGTCATTTGTGGACAGTTCATAATTTGGATTTGTCTGATTATTTCCTTATGATTAGATTTGCGTTAAAATGTTTTTGGCAGGGAGGTTACTTGAGTGAGGTGTGCAAGGGCATCACAGCAAAGGGCACATGAATATCAGCCTGTTTTAGTACTGATGATGCTAATGTGATCACTTGGTTAAAAGTGGTGTCCACCACATTGCTCCATTTTCCAGATACCCTTTCCCCTTTCTGACTGCTAAGTAGTCTATGAGGTGATACTTGACATTGCTTGAATAGCCTGTTTCCCAAGTTAGCATCTATTGATCGTTCTTGCTTGGATTATGTTTGGATTCTTAATATTAAATTCAGTTTGGGAACTGTTTCTGTGGTCTCATTAGGAACATGTGACTTCTGTAAAGTTCCTGGAGATAGGTGAATACCCAGGAGGTTCCCTCCTCTCCCTACTCCCACCTCTTTACTGCCTCCAGGGACCCCTCATGTCCTCAAATCCTGGTTGGGAACCATTGCTGTATGAAAAGAAAACTGGTCTTGGAGTCAGCATAGTGGTATTGGAAAGATCTGGGCTCAGATTCTGGACCCACCGCTTATTAGGTCTATGACCTTTATCATGTTACATAACCTTCCTGAACCTCTTTCTTCAACTGTAAAATGGAAGATAATGGTTGTGGCGGACACTGTTGGTGGCCTATCCAACACACATTTCTCTGTTTTTCTTGCTAACAGAACTCTGGTTGTATTTATTTGGCATGTGCCAAGCCCCCAGGAGGAGTCATAATTTAAAACTAAGCTAGGGGCACCTCGCTGGCTCAGTCGGAAGAGCATGCAACTCTTGATCTTGGGGTCATGAGTTCAGGCCCCACGTGGGCTGTAGAGATTACTTAAATAAATAAAACTTTAAAAAATAAATAAAACCAAGCTAACTGAAGCCTTCCAATTCCCCTTGGTCAGTGTTAGTTTAGGTGTAAGCATCTGGCTCAGTTCTGGCCCAGGAGATACAGGTAGAGAACTGCCAGTTTTCTGGGAAAGATTTTTCTCCCTTCTTATAGTGAGTGCTGTCATGCAAGGAAGCCATGCTTTGTGAGCTGGGGTGGCCATAGTGCAAACCTGAGGTGCAAGCCTGCAAGGAATCCTAACTTGCTGATGGAGGGCAGAGTGGGGGAGGGAAAGAATCTGGATCCTTGATATCATGGAGCTTCCCAGCCAATCCTAGGTATACTTTCCTCCAGACTCTCTGGTAAGCAAACACATATCCTTATGCCATTGTCGAGTTTTTCTCTTGCTTGTAGTTAAATGCATCCTAACTGATATAATGATCCTTATGATTGAGGTAAGGCGAGTGAAAGTGTCTATCCCTGTGCATGATGTAGGCACTCAAAAGATATCAACTTCCTCCCATGCTTTGACCCTTCATACTGCCCACTCTATTGAACCCCACCCCTGGGTGAATCCAACAAGCCCCTCTCTGGGCCTGCTTCCAGATTGCCAAATTGAGTTTCAGGAGACACACAACAAGGCAGATCAGCACAAACATTGACTTTTGGTGACCACCCTCAACTGGGTCGTCTGCACTTTCCGGGTAGTTTCTACTCTTCCACTCTCTGAAACAGCAATTTCAAAGCTTCTTCATGCTCCTCTCTCTTTGCCCACCACCGTGCCTCCCCCTCTCGGCTCACAGACAGAAGAAACAACCTCATCTCCTACTTCACAGACAACAAAAAAGCCATCAGAGCGGGGCTTGCCAATCTTCCTCCACCAAATGTCCTGAGAACTTCTTCCTCTTCCCGGCCAGTCCCTCGTATGTCACACAGTCTGGCCCACCCCACCCCCCATGGTGGTTTTTAGATCTCCTCTGGCATTAGTCTGTCTTTAGAAGGCTCCACCATGTACCATACCAAACATATTCAGATGTACTCACTTCCTATATTAAATAATATATTTTTGCTGTAAAAATCTTAAATAATTTTTTTAAAAAATTGCTTTAATTATTTAGCTGCAGGTAGTTTGCCTAATTTGTGATTGGCTATGGGTTTTTTTTTTTAGGAGCACTAAGGTGCTATGTGGGATTTATTTATTTTTTTTAAAGGATTTTATTTATTTACTTGAGAGAGGGAGTGCAAGCTAGAGAGAGAGCGCATGGGGCAGAGGGAGAGAGAGCAGCAGACTCCCGCTTGAGCAGGGAGCCTGAGGTGGGGCTTGACGTGAGGCTTGATCCCAGGATCCTGGGATTATGACCCGAGCCAAAGGCAGAAGCTCAACAGACTGAGCCACCTACTTGGGATTTATTTTAAGGTAAGAGAAATCTAACTCCCAAATCGTTTTCAAATGTAAATGCCATTTTGAACATTAAATATTGTCATAAAGGAAGTTGACATAATAATCTGTTGTGCCAGCACTTAATTAAACATTAATTTTGATTATTCACGGTTTAAAAAAATTTTTGGAGGCAATGATTTTACTTTTAGCACTCAGATTTTTTTATAGGTCCCTGAAAAGCTCCTAGGCCTTAGGTAGTTTATTGAATGACAGGTGCCCCTTCCTGCCCCTCAGGGCTCTTAACCCCTCCCTCACTCACATCTTCCACACCTCCATCTCTGCTTGATTCTTCCCAACTGCATTTAGATGCACTGATTTCTGCCATCCAGATAAACCATTCTAGCCTAACAAAACCTAGCCTAGCAAAATCACACCAGGGCCCATTGCAACTAACCTTTCTAACTGTCCCCTCCCTTTGTCACCAAAGGCTGACATCAGAGTCGTTTACACTATATCTACTTTGAGATGGTCCCTTACCCGCTTGGCTTTCAGGGCAAAGACCGAACTCTGTACCTTGGCCTGTAAAGCCCAACCAAATGGGGGCTCTGCCAACCTCAAAGACCCCACCCCCAGCTCTACTTCCTTGCAATTCTTCAGACACAAGCTTTCTCCTACCTTTGGGTCTTTGCTCTTAACTTCGTGCCCCATTCGGAGCACCCTCTCCCACCTACTTATTTGCCGCTCTAACTTGTACTTCTCTGGGCAGCCTCCCCTGACCTTCCAGAGTCAGTCCTTCTATTACATAGCACCTGGTGCTATTGCTTCATGACATTTGATATGTAGTTATTCATAATCAGTCATTGTTTCCTCATGTTAGTTTGCTAGAGTTGCCATAAAAAGCAGCATAGACTGGGTGGTTTAAACAGCAGAAATATATTTTCTCACAGTTCTGGAGGCTAGAAGTCTAAGATCAAGATGGTGGTAGGTTTGGTTTCTTTTGAGTCCTCTCTCTCAGGCTTGCAGTTAATTGCCTTCTCACTGTGTCCTCACATGGCCTTTCATCTATGTGTGTGTGCAACCCGGGGGTTTCTTCCTCTCCTTACAAGGACACCAGCCTTATTTTAATGTAATTATCCTTTAAAGACTTTATCTCCAAGTACTGTTCTGTTCTGAGTCACTGGGGTTTGGGACTTCAACATACGACTTTTGGGAGGGCACAATTCAGCTCATAACTATCAGGGACTGTGTCCTCCTTCCCAGTGTATCCCTTGTGCAAGGGCCATACTAATCTCTCCTGTATCGTTCCAATTTTAATATATGTGCTGCCGAAGAGAGCACATCCTCCCCAGTGTATCCCAAGCCCTGAGCATCATGCCAAGACACAAGAACACATTTTCTATTTAATTAACTTCCCCAAGACTAACTGTGTGACATTGGCCTGGTTCCTTCTATTCTCTGTACCTAGTTGTGCCACCTGTAATATCAGGCTGGAGAAGCTGGTCTCTAAGGACCATCGGACAGTTGACCCAACCTCCTTTAATAATCTCTTCAGTGAAATCTTTCCCCCTCACCACTAGAGGGAGATGTTACTTCTAGTTTTTTTCTCTGCGGGACTGTGCCTTAACTCTCTTGTCCCTGGGACATTAAAAGTGGAGGAGCTGAGGCCAAGGACAGCCTGCAGCCAAACTATCAGCAGGGCATTCAGCCCTGGGCTTGAATTTCAACTCTGCCTTTTCCTGGCTGAGGTATCTTTGCCAGGGTCCCCTTGAGAGTGTTAATTTTCTCTGCTGCTGAGTGGGCAATGAGAATGCCTCATCCATGATGCTATGTGGGGCAGGCTTCCAGATTGAGCTCCCAGTCTAGAAACCCCAGAAATGCAAATGCCCCACTTGCTCCCTTCTCAGTAAACAAGTTCCTGTCTGCTGATGTGTCATTGAGAATGTTGGCAAGTCTGTCTAAGGAGTGGGCCTTTCTGACGGCTTGGACTGGCCAGAGAGGGCAGATGTCCAGAGAAAGGCAGGCAGGCAGGCAGAATTCCGTCCTGCTGCCTGCCTCCTCCCCCACGAAGTAGGAATGTAGGATGCTTTGGGGCATCCAGGGTGGATGCAAGAGAGATCCTGGTCAATTCCAATTTTTGAGGCTCCAAATTTGTTAAAGTATGAAATGCCTAAGTTAAGTGCAAAAAGGCAATTCGGAGACAAAAGCACTTAGAATATTAGTTTCATAGTAAGTGTATGTTATAAACATACATTAAAAGGCAACCAGATTCGGTCACATACAGGGACCCTTGACTATTGTCTGCCCTCAACACTTAACCATACAGTCAGACCTCAAGGACCAACTTCCCAATGATGCTGCCACTCCTGGGGAAATAAAGTGGCTGTGCATAGAACTGGAAGCAGGCTTGACTATGAACCAAAACTAGAGTCAGAAAAAAGCACAAGGAAAAAAAGCTACAAGAAATCCACCCCAGAAGCTGCAAAAGATGGCCTGAGTTCAAACAGCTCAAAACGTACCCTTCTTGGGCCTTGTGGATTCAGTTTTGACTGAATTCTCGGCTATGCAACCAGACCCTTTCAAAAAGTGGTTTACTTGCAAAGAAGCCTTCTAAGGGACACCAGGCTTTAAAATAATTTGCTCCTCAGTAAAAAATACAACACCCATTTAAAGGGGAAAACACCATAAGATCGTGAAGGTTAAAAGTTTCGTCTGTTTTTTTGTGGGAAACAGCAATTTTCTTACATGATGATGATCAACATAATGCCATAGGTTCAGAAATTTGTACTATTAAAGTCAGGGATAAAGTTGTTTTAGTCAGAGAGTCAGGAAAGACTTCAGTTTCATTTGGTGATAAAAACAAGCTGATGCTTATCATTTATATAAGGGTGCAAAGTCCTGTTTCTCCCCCTTGACTGAAATGTGCCACGTAGCCTATCCTTTTGTGGAGGAGGGCAAGGTGTCAGCGAGGGAGTGGGAGGAACAGAGGCAGACGGACAAGCAGACTCTGTGCTCAGGGCAGAGCAGATATGAGGCTCCATCCCACAACCCTGAGATTAGGACCTGATCCAAATCCAGACTTGGCTGCTTAACCCACTGAGCCACGCAAGCGCCCCCAAAGTAACACTTTTAACACACACAAAAATCACACTGCAGTGTAATTGTGCTTTTCATAAGCTAATTCTAGAATACATAAAAGACATGAATTCATGGCGCGCTCAAGCACCGTGGGTTGGTAATGGCACACAAAGTTTAAAGTTGCAGGAGTGAAGCCTGTGGGGCCTGCCAGTAGGCCCAGCACATGTCACATGCAGAATCTAAATGTGAGATCAGTCCTCAGAGGCCCCCTGAGATGAGCCTTGATGGCAAGCTTTGGACGTGGGGTAGAAACGGGGATAGATTTCTTTTTTCATCTTCTTTTACTTCCTCAACTTTGCTGTTTTGTCATATTTGTAAACCCATTAGGGGAAAAAAAAAAGAAGTGTTCCTTCAGAATGTGACATTTGAGCTGGCACCTTTCCAAGTGTCACTTTCCTTAGTGTGAAAGGGAAATTATATTAGGACCGAGGGGAGAGCAGGTGCTCCTCGGTTGTGCTGTTAGTATGAACCCTGCCTAACCCAGCTGTTTCTGGAAGGGGGTGCCTGCTCACTTCACCTCTTATTAGTCAAGTGATTTCTCATCTCTCTGGGCCCCAACTTCCCCTCCGCGAAACGAGTTTGAGGGTGTCACTTTGCAGTGCTGTCTCCATCTTCCTCAGCCTGTCACAGACCAAGGCACAGGATGGTGGTAAAGGGGGGCTTTTCCTCAGGGAGATGGCTGGTTCTACACTCGGGACTGTGGTCCCCCAACTCACCCTGCGGGTAAAGTCCTGGAGCCTTCCCGACCTCGGACTACAGCTCCCAGCATGCCCCGAGGGCCTCTCGGGCCAAGTCTCGCGTGCTGTGACGAGACCTCGGAAGGCTTTACGGGAAGGCTGCCGGCCGACCCGGCGGCCAGTGTTCCCTCGTTGGTACCTGGGACCTTCGGTGTCGCTACGGGCATAACGCCGCTCACATCATGGCTTGGGTCCCTACTGCGCCACAGCGTCTCGTGAGACGTGGGTCCTCAGAGCCTCTTTAGTGCTGGAGCTCGGGCGGGGGCGGAAGAACAGGTAACCAGACGGACCGGGCCTGGACCTCCTTGGGGCTGCGTCCTTCGCGCATCCGAAGGGGCGCGCCTCTGGCCCCTCCACCAAGGCGCTGACCCGGGGCCTCTCGGTCCCTCTCCCTTCTCCCCTCCCCAGGCGCAGAGCTCGGCCCGACCGCGCCTTGCCTCTCTTGCCCCACCATCTGGAGTCTCCCAGTGGGACTTCTCTCTGATGGTCCCTCTGCATCCCCCGCACCGGGCCTCGCCTCGGCTTCCTCAGACTGGCCTAGGCCGTGACCCTCGTTCCTCGCCCTCACCCCCATGCCTCCGCCTTGCCCGGCCCTCGGAGGACCTTCGGCTTGTGCCCGGCCCCGGCCTTAATCTCCTTTTTCTTAGTCTCGCGGGGCGGGAGGGGTTGGGTCAGACCTGGCCTTTCAAATCCTGGTGGCTTTGTTCCGTATCCTGTGAAGGAGCTGCGTGAGCTCTGCGGGGGGAGTGGGAACAGGGAAAGGGAAGGGGAAGTGGAAAGGATGTATGTGGGTCTGAATGCTTCCTGGACCTGGAGGATGGCTGAACTTTGGTTTCTTCGATGCTCTTTAATGAAGAACTAACTAGTTTGTCCCTTGAACTTAATCAGGTAGAGGGGCAGTGTAGCAAGTTGAAAAGCAAATAACTTGGCCTTTTCAGGGTTTTGTTTTAATTCCCCTGAAAATGGGTGTGGAACTACCTGCCTTGCAGATCCGGCCACTTGTCTGTGACCTTGGACAACTCACATAAACACATCTCCTGATTTTTAGTTTCCTTCTTTTAAAATTTTAGGGGATAAATAACGTGTGCTTTGCAGAGTTGCTGCAGGGTTAAAATGCAAGATAAGTGTTGTATAAAACCCTTAGGAGTATTAGTGTTAGCAACAAAGAATGAGTTTACCCATTATGGTATATAGCCCGTTGCTGTTGGTTAAGTAAGTCCTAACTTACTTAAAAATGATGTGTATAATCACTCTTGCAAGGTTGTGGAGAATACATGAAGGTACAGGAAGGTGTTTGGCAGACTCTGAAGGGCTATACCAATGCTGGTTGTTTGTTATTCTTAGAACCTCTGAAATGGATGGACTCTTCCCAAGCAGATTTGCTCATTTGCAGCAGCTGGACAATGTTCCTCATTAATACCTGTCTGTCAGCATAATCGTCACATCATCTCACTCGGGTAAGGTGACCTTTTCACCACATATAGTGTCTTTGTCACATCACAGGTGTTAAGATCAGCCACAGGTGAGACCTTTGACTTTCTCCTTTAAAAAAATTTTTTTTAATTTCCTTTGGCATGTTTGTCACCCATTGGCTCTTTTATGTGTGCTTCAACCTTGTAAACAAGCCATAAAACTCTGTGTGCCTGTCAGAAGAACAGCACTGGAGCTATTCTTTGGTGTTCACTGTAAGAAAATGCCCTTTGTTATTTTTATTAGGTGGCAGGGACTCAGCTCCGAATTCTATATAGAAAAAGCATCTGGATCCCAGTCTTTCAATGGCTTCGAGACAACCAGAAGTGCCTGGTAAACTTAATTCTTTTTGATAAAGTCTTGCTTTGCCCTTAATGTTTTAAGCTAAATAGAAACCACTTTTCTTCTCAACCATATATTAATGGTTACTTTCTGCCACCAGGCAAGTATTTAAACTTAATAGATTGGCATCATTTAAATATTACCTTATTAACCACCCAGCCAGGGTATGAACCCAAACCCTAAATTGAAAGAGAACAGTCATTTCATACTTAAAGGTATGCCAAATTTGTCACTTTCCTACAGATATCAAATAAGAATTCAGAATAAGTTGTTTGGTTCTTGTAATATGTACCAAACGATTGTACTTATTCCCCTTTTTGGAGGGGATTGGGGGTGGGCAGAATGGAGGTCTGGGCAAAAAGGCACCGGCCTGATTTAAAGGTAGATTAAACTTGGGCGGTTAGGAAAATGCTCACAGCAACGTTTAATGAATCCTGGGCCTGTGTAGGGCAATACTTTCTGGGTTACTAAAGTCATTGATCCCTCCCAGGACTGTTTTAGTGGGAAGGGCCAGTGATTTTTAATCAAATCTGAATCACTCAGATTTTGATTCTCAGTCAGATAGTGCCTGTCTCTCAAGGTTGCTGTGAAGATTAAGAATAACATATGTGAAAATGTGAGTTAAAAGTTAGTGATGAATATATATTTACTGCACAGACAATTTTTTGGTCTCTCTCTGTAGGAGTATATTTCCTACTGAATTTTAGCTGACTTTATTATTTTTAGGAGGGCTATTGGGATGGCTGCTGGGAGGAGTCTTTAAGATTTTTTTTTTTTTTTTAAAGATTTTATTTATTCATTTGAGACACAGAGATACAGAGAGAGAGAGCATGAGCAGGGAGAGAGGCAGAGGGAGAAGG